CTGGCGACGACGCCGCGTGCGAAACAAAAAAGTGGAACGAGATCCTGTGGCGGAGTCCTAGGTCGACTTTATCGACGCCAGCAGCTCGGTGACGTCCCTAGCAGAAACTCTCCAGGGCCGGATGTTCTATTAGTTGGGCTGGAAGGAAACGCCCTTCTCTGTCGATCCCTGGGCACAGTAGAGCTCGTGCGCGACCCCGTCACTGCCGAGGTGCACCAGGCCCTAGAAGCCGTTGCAGCCGAGCCTGTAGCTGGTGAGCGACTTGCTGCCCCTCTCGAGGAAGCTGCCCGTTGGCGCTGGCGGACACTGGTGGGGAAGTCCGATCTCGCGGTTGTGACGTGGGGCTGCTGCGTCCGAGGGTCAATCCAGTCGATGTTCTGATCCACAATCATGACGCCGAACCTGCTGGCCAGGTCCTCAGAAGAGGAGGAGGTCGAGTAGGACTTCGCAGCTCTGAAGATGGTGACATTAATGTCGGAAAAGGAGCTCGTAGGTATTCTTGGGCGCAACGGTGAGAGAGCGAGGGGATGTGGGATGTATCGATTCAGCGCGTCCATCGGTCACGCGTGAGGCCAGAAAATCTCTCCAGATTGCCGCGCCCTTGGCGCAGTGGGGTACGATGATCTGATGCTTGTTGCTGCTGAAGGGCGCACAGCACCCGGCCTGGATGAAAATAGCTTCGTTGACCGCGCTGTCGACCTTGGTGTTGATAGGGGACGTCTGGGAATCAACTGCGTTGGGCCTCTCAAGCCGTGATCCTCACATTCTTATCATGTAGTGCCAAAAACCGAATCACACTGATGCCTGTATTGCTGCATGTTCTGCTCGAGCCTGCCGAAGGAGGTGGTTGCTCTCACGGACGCTGGACATGAGCTCCGCCTGCCACTTCGGAGCCTCGAGCGGTGTGCCTGAAGAGGTGGTAGTCGGGGTAGCAGTGCCACCCACACGGATGTTATCTTTCGCCACGCTTGAAGCAAACGATTTCCCAGATGTGGTCCGACTACGATCCCGAGCGTGTTTTTCACGACTGATTTCACGTTCGTCCCGTTCATGACCGGCGTCTTTCTCACGACGGGTACGCGGTCTGTCTCCAGGAGGTTCGAAGTGCCGCCCTTGAGACTCGCTGAACTTGAACCACCTGGTGCTGCGGTTGGCCCCTTTTGGCTCGTGATCTTCTCAGTGCCCCTGCCTCCCACGATGCCGAAGACAAATGTGGCGGGAGTGATCCAGTGCATTGGTTCGAGCAGAAGCCAACAGCGGTCGGGCGACCTCCTGCTGAGATCGCCTTGGGCCAAACATCGCGGCTGCAACCAAGCCCTAGCCGCCGAGGTCCCGCGGATAGAGCCTTTGCCACAAAATGGCTACGGGGGAAGAGGAGGAGCAGGAGGAGGAGGAGGAGGAGGAGGAGGAGGAGGAGGAGGGCGACGACGACGACAACGACGACGACGACGTCGAAACCCTGGGAACGCGCGTGCGGGCTCTCTCCTCTCCCCAGACAGCCTCCGTCGCTGTTTTTTTGACAACGTGCCCCCCGATAGGTTTGGACCCAGTCCCCGGGAGCGACGTTTCATTCGTTCTGTGACGATCCTCGGGCCCAGTCAGTGCGTCTGGAGGCCGACCAATTTCAAAAACCGTTCGCCGTGATTGTTTTCACGCCGCAGGATGTCAATCGCCACGGCTACATCGGCAGGTGATCGTGCGCGCGCCGCGCAGACGACATCCAAGACGCGCGGCCAGCACGACGGATCACGGCGAGGCTGTCCAGAACATACACCGCCGCATCTGCACAAGCCAGCACCTGAACATGAAGGCACAAGACAAAAGGAAAAACACATCAAGACGAAAATCGGAGGAGGCAAAAGACTGTAGAAGGCTTCGTGGCGATTGTCGGGGGAGCTACTGTCAGGGAAGGAGGACAACGACGAGGGCAAATAGGAGTATCGGGGAAGGGCCAGTCGAGAGGAAGGGCGGCGTCCCCAGGTGGCCGACATCCGCTCAACATCGGCCCCCAGGTCCCTCCTGGGGATCCTCCTCTTCCTCTTTCGTCCGCGGCCAGGATCCACTCCTTCCTTTCTCTCCTTCCCTGCGCCCTTACCCTCTCCACTCCTCCATACCCTCCATACCCTCTCCACTGCTCCATACCCTCCATACCGCGGCCAGGATCCACTCCTCCATACCCTCTCCACTCCTCCATACCCTCCATACCCTCTCCTCTTTATTCTGCGGCCAAGATCTCTCCTTCCCTGCGCCCTCTCCCCCTCCTCTATACCCTCTCTCTCCCTGGTCGTCAGCCCGAAGGTGGATCCGGCCGTGGCGACGAGAGGCCCCCAGGAGGCCCGAGGGAGAACGCACGACGTGCGGGAGGGCCGCTGCCGCCTCGGCCGGCCCCCCCTTGCTGGAGGAGGCGGCCGGGGTGCCTGCCCGGGTGGGCGCAGGGTCGTGGTCTGACTGCTGAGTGCTCCTGCTGCCCTCAGGTCGGGCCTCTCCCCCTACAGGGGGGATCTGGACGAAAGACTAAAAACATCCACCCAAAAAATAAAAAATGGTCAAACATAGCCAAAGCAAATCCCCCCCAGACTATTTTTTAACCATTTTTGAATATTCCTCCTGTAGAGGGACAGGCCCGACTTAAGGCTACCCGCGAGGGCAACGAGAATGGCACAACCGGGTCACTCCTTTTGGGGGTCACTCCTCCAGGGATCACAGATAATCAGCAACATGATATATTGCAACACGCTGAGCTAAAGTGGAGGAATACCGCCAAACATGAGAAGAAACGTTCGGAGGTCCGTGCGGACTTCGTGGACCAGAGCCAGATGCGCCGCCAGGGAGGCGGGGGGGCCATCACAGATCCAGGAAATCTGCGCGGACCTCCGAAAACACATGTCGGTGCAATGTGTTCTTCTTCGAGCTGAGGTAGAGGAATGAGCGAATTGCAGGCTTGCGGGAACTCTCGCCATCGCTCAGGCGTCCATTCCCCGTGCGTTTTTGTCGGCTTCGTGCGGCCATCTCTTCGCAAGGTGACCCCACGTGCTCCCCGATGGTCCATGACCGAGGAAAGAATGCACACGTCCGAGCGATGCCAAGAACTCTGAATCCCAACAAATTGTCCCGCCTCCTGGGGGGATTTCTACTTCCGCCAGCCCTCCGCCCGCTTCCGCCAGGACCTCAGGGGAGGGCGAGGCCCTGTCTTCGTGAGGCTCCAGGCTGCGCTCAGGCTCAGACCGCCCTCCCCAGGCAGTCCCGGCTGAGCTCAACCAGCCCCCCGAGTAGTCTCAAGTCGGGCATGCCCCTCTACAGGAGGAATCTTCAAACATAGTTTAAAACATTTTTTGGTGACGATCGATGTTCGACTTTCTTTGAATAGGCTTGCCTATTTCTCATCTTCCTTCCAAAATTCCGTCTGTAGGAGGACATGCCCGACCTGAGAGCAGTCCCGGCTGGCCTCCACAGGCCCCCCGAGCAGCCCAGGGCGGTCTCGACACCTCGGCCCGACCGAGGGGCCTCGAGGTGTTAAGGCCGCCCCGGCCTACGGGGGGGAGGCCTGCTGAGGCCAGCCGGGACTGCTCAAGTGGGGCCTGTGGAGGCCAGCTCGGGGACTGCAGTGACTGCAGTCGGGGCGTTGACCCAAGGAGCCCTAAAATAAGGAGCGAGGCCCCTTTTTTTCCACAAGTTAACCTTCGCTCTCCTGCCGAAGCCATAAGGAAAGCCTGAGGCAAGCTGCGAAACACTTAAGGAACGCGGAGCCCCTCCCCAACGAAAAGGGTTCCTTCCTTCTTCAGGGCCCCGACTGTACTCTGTGTGCAACCCGCAGCCATACGGTCAGGAACTTTTGCCCAGCGTGTTGCGGCGGCGGCCCCGGCGACACGCTGTGCGGAGAGGCAGGCTGGAGAAGGCTCGGGACGTCGACGATCAGGGACAGGGAAGTAGCTAGCATGTCGCGTCGAGGCGTGGTAGGCCAGAACTGGCCGAGCGACACGCAGCGCCAAAGATCCTGACCCTACCACCTGTGCTCCCAGACCCCCGACGCCAATGATTTGTTTCACAACGTCGACCCCCAGAAGTCCCGACCCATTCCCTGGTACTGGTCTCTCATCCTGAGCCGTTTCGTGACGGCCCCGAGGCCCGGCGAGCTGGTGAGGGCCCCCAGAGGCTGAACTTAGCGATAAAGACCTCCCGTCGTGATTTGGGCCTGGAAGGCCAGTGTCGGCTACATGCAAGGAGCGGCCCTGGGAAAGGAGTGACCTCTGGGGCGCGGCCTCCGGGGGGCCGCTGGGATGCCACATCCTAGCGTACAGGCCAGTGCCTGGGGGGAACCCCGCAGGCCCGCACGGAAGGCCACCCTGGCGAAAGGTCACCCCCCGCGGGTAGCCGGCCAGGGGTCGGGTGTTGCTGGAAGTGCCCCTGGCCCAAGGTGCCCCCAACTTTTCGCTCCACTCTGGAGCCCCTGGGGCCCTCTGGGCCTCGTGAGGGGTGCTCTGGAGGCCGTGGGGGCCTCCGTGGAAATCCTGGGGGTACCTTGTCGGGGATCTTCTGACCCGGGTCAATCCCAGACCCGGGTCAGCAAGAAACCAAACAACTGCAATGCAGGAAAAAAAAACTGCAGCGCAGGTCTTCCCAAACCCGGGTCAGCCAATATGCGCGGCCGCCTCGCGGCCACGAGCGGCTCGCTAACCCGGGTCAGCCAGAGAGGGTCTTCGCAGGATCCTGCAGGATCCGGTGCCCTGGCTGACCCCCGTTTGCACTGACCCCCGTCCCTCAGGCCCCGACCTTGGGCCAGGGGCACTTCCTGGCAGCAGCCGAAGGGGGGAGTGGCCAGGGGCACTTCCTAGCAGCATCCCAAGGGGCCTCTGGGCCTCGTTAAGGGAGGCCTCCGTGGGGGCCTCCGTGGAGATCCTGGGGGCCTCCGTGGAGATCCTGGGGGTACCTCGAGCCAGGGGCACCTCCCAGCAGCAGCCGAAGGGGGGAGCGGCAGGGAGACACGCCGGCCGTGGCCGGTCCTCGAGACGATGCGGCACTCGAGGTAGGCGCAGGCCTCCCGCAGCACCGCGGCGCCAGTGCCCGGGGAGGGGATGGCGTCGATGCCCTGCGGGCGGCCGCCGCCGCCGTCGCTCGATCGGTCGAGGATCGGTCGAGGATCGAGGATCGGGGATTGGGGGCTCGAGGGATCGAGGGATCCGTCGAGGTTCGATCGAGGATGGAGGATCGAGGGTCGGTTGGGGATCGAGGGTCGAGGACCGATCGAAGGGCCGAGGATAGAGAAGCGATCGAGGATCGACGATGCATCGATCGGACCAGGATCGGTCGAGGGTCGGTCGAGGATCGAGGATCGAGAATCGATCGAAGGGCCGAGGCTCGAGAATCGATCGATGATCGATGATGCATCGATTGGACCAGGATAGGTCGAGGGTCGGTCGAGGATCGGGGATCGAGAATCGATCGAAGGGCCGAGGATCGATCAAAAATTCGCGGATCGAAAACCGATCGAGGGTCGAGCGAGGATCGAGTATCAGTGGAGAATCGATCTATGGTCTATCGGGGATCGGGCGAGGGGCGTCTTTATCGTCGTCGTCGTGGTGGTAGTGGTGTCGTCGTCGCCTCGGTCGTCGTCGTTCTCGCCCCCGCCGCCGCCGCCGTCGCCGTCGTCGTCGTCGCCGTCGTCGTCGATCGGTCGAGGATCGACCGAACTTGTTCCACGACTTCGGCACTCCTGGGGCAGTCATGTTCCGACCTCGTGCGGGCCATAAAGGACTTGAGTAGGGGATCGACTACATAATCGATTTACACAAACATTGTTTTCCCGTCGAATCTATGAAGCATGCCTACAATCCTCCGTGGATCTATTGACTCGTTTACGTATTTTTCTCATGGGTTCGACGAGCAAATGAATTTGGGAGTAAATCAATTCTTTAGTCGATGCCCTACTCGGAGAACGAGTTCGGAGCGAGAAACTGTCCCTCGGGCCATGGTTTGAGGATCGGCTGCCGTCGTCGTCGTCGTCGTCGTCACCGCCGTCGCCGTGGTGGTGGTGGTGGTGGTGGTGGTGGTGGTGGTGGTCGTCTTCGTCGTCGTCGTCTTCGTCATCGTCGTCGTCGTCTGCGTCGTCGTCGGCGGCCCGTCTTCGTCGTCGTCGAGTTGGTCGTGGTCGACGTCGTCGTCGTTGTCCTTGACCTCCTTTCTACTTTTCCTCGTCCCCATCCATCTCCGTCTCCTCCTCCTCCTCCTCCTCCTGCTCCTCCTGCTCCTCCTCCTCCTCCTCCTCCTCCTCTGCCTCCTCCTCTTCCTCCTCCTTCTCCTCCTCCTCCTCATCCCCCTTCCACTTCCTCCTCCATCTGCATCTCCTCTTCTTCCTCCTCCTCCCGTTCCTCCTCCTCCTCCTCCTCCTCCTCCTCGCACGGCCGTCCTCCAGGCGGTCCACCCCGGCGGGGAACTTCTTCAGGAAGTGCTTCATCATCGTCAGCGACCTTGTTTGACCCCCTCGCGTCGCGACGCATCACGCTGGCACGTGCTGGCCGCTGTCGGCCTCCAGAGGCCCCTGCTGGGCCTCCGAGACCGGCATGAAGAGGCTCGGGGAAGAAACGCCTGTCCCGGCAGAAAGGGCCGAGGCCTCCCGGGGTCCACGGTGTGAAAACTCCACGGCGCAATGGGCCTGGGTCAGAGTGAAGCTGCCCCCTGCTCCCGCTCTCGACTGCACGCAGGAGTGACCCTGGACAAGAGTGACCCTTGGTGCGCGGATCTAGGGTAGGCCGAACCTGGGAGCGCAAGCCGCTGCTGCCGCTCCGCGTTCGGCGATCGGGCGACCCCATTGGGCCCGCACCAAAGGTCACTCCGGCGACAGGTCACTCTTACGTCTATCTGTCTACCACGGCATGTTCTCTGAATCAGTGACTGTTCTTTTCACGAAAGCAATGCTCGTAGAACTTGGAAACCATGTGTTATAACATTTCTTTCGGGGAGACGTAAGACCCGGTTACGGGGGACTCGGAAATCCCCGACGAGGTCGTCAAAAAAATGACGAGGCCGAGCCTGCATTTTGACGAGGCCTCCCGCTGCAGACATCCAACGAAACTCCTACTCGTCAAAATCCGAGTCGCGGCCGTCAAAAAACGATGGCGAACCCGAGTCCTGGCAAACCCGGGTCTTACGCTCCCCCGATTCTTGTTGTTGAAGAAAGAGTCTCATGATCATGCTGTACCAACCACGAGAGGTTATTATAACGTATGTTGGTGGGCCTCTGGAAAGACCAGGACGCATCGTCACACCTGAAACGCGTCGGCACGATTCTGGGATGCAGGGCACGTCCAGTCGGGCGGGAGCGGCGTCTCAACAAACGAAGCACGCACCTTCCGTCCTCCAGGAAATTGATATTGAACTGATCTCCAACGCGCAGCAAGGGCTCCATGGCCCGGTCCTTGGCGATGGTCAGCGATATGCCCAGAGGCGACTTCGAAGCTGCTGTCACCTGGAGGGGCCGCAAAATCCCGCGCTCCGATCTCGGAAGTTTATGTTTCCGCCTGCTGCTCCTCCTCCTCCTGCTCCTCCTCCTCCTCTTCCACCTCATCCTCCTCCTCCTCCTCGTCCTCCTCCTCCTCCTCGTCCTCCCACTCTTGCCCCACACCTTTCAACTCCTCCTCCCACTCCTGCTCCCACTCATGCTCTGGCTCCTGATCTTCCTCCCCGTGCTCGCCACTGTCCTCGTCCTCGTCCTCGTCCTCGTCCTCGTCGTCGTCGTCGTCCTCGTCGTCGTCGTCGTCGTCGTCGTCGTCGTCCTCCCCCATGATCCTCCTCCTCCTCCTCCTCCTTCTCCTCATCCTCCTCCCTCTCCTCCTCCTCCTCCCCCCCCGCCGCGGGGAGGAGGGGGGAAGCCTCCCCTGCCGCGCGCCAGGAGCACCACGCAGGAACAAGCTCCGGCGCACTCGAGCGCTGTGCCCCCCCTCTCTCTCAGGCTCCGCTCGCCCCTGGGCTCCTCCGGGCCCTGGCCCCGGCCACAGCGTGCGCTCAGCAGCGCGCATTCGACCACAGCGTGCGCCCAGCAGCGTGCACTCACTCAGCAGCGCGCACTCAACCACAGCGCGCAACCGACAGCGTGCGCTCAATCACTCACACCCGGGCGCAGAACCCCTCACGGTTGACTGCGCTTCACTCACGGCCTAGATCTCCCTCTGCCCACGTCAGGATCCGTCAGCACCGCCTCGGGGCACCGGCTCGGGTCGGGACGTGCGCCGCCCCTTGGATGCAGCACCGGCACTTATAGAGGCACGGAGACGAGCGGGAGCTGCTGCGCCAGCGCCCCGCGCAGGCATCGGGCCGCACCAGCTCGCCGGATCTCCCTTCAACAGCGCATGATTTTTGCGGCACGGGCCCGTTGAGATCTCGACCCCATCACCAGCGGCCCCTGAGATCCGACGTTGCAGCAACAAAAATTGCGATATCGCAAACAAAAGTCACGACCGGACCCCCCGACCCCATTTTTTCTGCGTCATTTTTTTGAAGCGGGATCGATCTGTGTCCCGCGGCCCGAGATTGAGCGAAAGCGCCCGGCTCGAAAAAATTTAACAGCCAGGATCTCATGGGGCCTGCTTTTCATCTAGGGTCGTTCTTTGACGGTCCTGGGGCTGGGAAACAGCATCCGGAGGCCGAACCTTTGAAACAACAGCAGGCAACTGCCGTCGATTTGCTTCATGCGCCGCCGCCCAGATAGGGTCAGTCTCCCGTTCGGGGACCCCCTCTGTCGCGCCGTGCTTGGAGCTTCCAGCGCGCATCCAGTGAATCCTTGCAGACCCTGGAAGTTTATGATCATACAGAGGTTTCTTCTCAGAGTTCGGCCCGCCTCCCCCCTCGGCCACCAGGAACCTGAATCCAAGGCAGTTGCCCCTCCACCCCTCGAACGCGAGGAGGCCCTCCCTCCCTGCACGCCCTCGATCGGGTGTTGCACGAAGTGTCTCTGACCCAAGGTGTCTGCAGAATTCCCAGGGAGGCCCAGATGGCGCCGACTGGGGATCTTGAGGTTCCCGATTTGCTGGCGATGATGGTGATGGTTATGGTTATAGTGATGGTGGTGATGATGACGACGAGGATGCTGATGATGATGATGATGATGATGATGATGTTGATGGTGATGATGTTGATTATTCTGATGATGGTAATGATGATAATGATGATTACCGCGATGAGGATGCTGATGATGATACTGATGATGATGATGATGATGGTGATGATGATGGTGATGATGATGATGATGATGATGATGATCACAATGATGTTGGCGATAATGTCGATGATGACGCTGACGGCGGTACTGATTGCGATATGTGACAAGTAGAAGTAGCGGTGGTAGTATTCGTAAGTGTAATTGCAGATGGAGTGGAGTAGTAGTGGTGGTGGTAGTACCAGGTGGTAGGAGTAGAGTCAAAAGCAGTCGTAGCACAGGGACGTTGAGAATCAGCAGGATGACGAGGAGGAAAGGATGGGGTAGTAGTGAAGGCGGTGGTGGAAGTGGTCGTAATGGAAGTTGTGGGTGCGTCAGCACTAATACTATAATACTATTACTAGAGCCACCACCTCCACCACCACAACCCCCACCACTCCCTGAGACAGGATGGTGGTGGTGGTGGTGGAGTAGCAGTCGTGAGCGAGGTCGAGGGTGTTTTGATAGTCGCAGCAGCAACACTAATAGTAATCCCACCAGCCCATTGGGGTAAGGTGGTCTAGCGAGTTGTTCCTCCCTCTTCCAAACACCTCTTCCCTTCGGGGAGGGGTACCCTCCCCCTCCCCTCCCTGAGGCATTTTGGTACGGGCCGCGGGGTGTCAGGGCGCCCAAGATGGCCCAAGATGGCTCCTAGAGGGCGTCTGATGCTCAAAGATGGCCTCCAAGATGGCCCAAGATAACCGACGATGATCCAAAACAAATCTTCCGACATGCCTGCACGAAGCCGACGAGGGTCACAAGACGGTTCCAAGCGCTCTCGGGGCCCCCTCAGGACCCCCCCCCCCCCAGGAGGCCAAACCATTTCAAACACCTAAGCAAAACCACTGATGCTTGATTTCTCGCCTTTTCGCTTCTGATGCGCTTCTGATGCCTCAACATTGCCCCAGGATGGCCCAACAGAGGCCCAAGATGCCCCCCGACGGCCCCAAGAGCGCCCAAGAGCGGCCCAAGAGCGCCCCAAAAGGGCCTCAAGAGCCGATGTTGATGGCCCCAGAAGTGGGGGGACGCAAATCTGTGACCCCATCCTTCCCTTTTGATCGATGGCCTCCAAGATGGTCTCAAGGCCCCAAGAGGGCCCCTAGAGGGCCCTAAGACCACCCGAACGAGCCCTAAGAGGACCCCCAAATCCACCAAATCAGTCCCAAGAGGGCTCCAAGAGGAGATCATGAGGGCTCTGTCCTCGTCCTCGTTGTCCGCCTCCTCGTCGTCCTCGTCCTCGTCCTTGCTCTCATCGTCTTCTTTTTTCTGTTCCTCCTCTCCTCGTCGTCGTGGACGTCGTGGTCGTCGTCGTCGTCTTATTCCTCCTCCTCCTCCTCCTCCTTCTCCTCCTCCTTCCCTCGCCCCCACGCGGGCCCCAGGGATGGCCCAAAGAGGCCCTTCAAGGCCACTCCCTTGCTCCCAGCAGTCTCTCTGTTCACCCTGGTTGCCCGCTTTAGTTCACTACATGTGCCCCTTCGTCCCTTTACCCGTCAACTCTCATAGTCAGGGTTTTTGAATGTGCTGGTGTGGATACGAAAAACGTGAAGAAAAGCAGTAGCGGGCCAGGGGGTGTATACGTCCCTTTCGATTTCCTCGTATTGCTTCTCTTTCTGTGATGCTTTCTCCTCTTCTTTCTCCCTCTTTCTCACATTATGTAGGTATTCCCCCCCCCTCTCTCTCTCCCTCTCCCTATTACTTGCTTATATCTGGATATATGTGTTCTTATTCTCTCTCTCTCTCTCGCTCTTTTCCTCTCTCTCTCTCTTATTCTCGCTCTTCTTTCCCGTCACACGGGAAAAAACATGAAGCCAACACACAAACAGTCGAATTGTAACTACTACAATCGAAATCAACATGTAAGTGGAATCTGGTTTGGAAAAAAACGAAGTACTTCCATGTGTGATCCACACATGAACGCAATCTGTAAGTCAATCGCAAAACGAATCCCATTGTAAAGCCGCAGAAGAGAATTCGAACTTGCAGCTCACACGCCCAGAAGCAACGTGTAAGGCAACACGCACACATAATGCCCTGTGCAACCGTAATGCCGCACAAAAGGCTTTTCCCAAACCGTGCGGCCCTAGTTGAGCAGGGACCGACCGTCCCGGCATTTCTGTAGGCCTACCATGCCATGTTCTTAAGCCCAAGAAGTGCTCGAACAACAAATCAAGTAAATGTTCTTATAACATAAACCCAGTGTGTTAAAACAGGACAGTCCCAGCTAGACACGCTCTAAGAACATCTCGTGCAGACCACGACAGGTTCCTAGAACATCTTCTGGTGGCCCTGTAGGCGAGCCAGAGCGTTCCGCCACTGCTCGACCTCGCCGGGCTGTGGCCGCCCCGTCGCCGCCCCGTCGCCGCCCCGTCGCCGCCGCGCGTCCGGCCCTTGCGGCCGCCCGTCGCCGCCCGCCGCCGCCGCGCGTGCCAGCCCGGCCGGCCTGTGGCCACCCGCTGCCGCCGCCTCGTGGCTTCTCCTTTTCGCATATAATGTGTTAGAGTCGAAGCACTGCCATAAGGAACCCCAAATGAAGAACGAAACCTTTTTTCCATACGTTAATTCCCATCGAAGACCTGAAGGAAAACCTCAGACAAGCTGTAGAACGGTGAAGGAACACCGAGCCGTTCCCCAACGAAAATAGTTCCTTCTCCACGGGCCCGAGTGTAGGATCTACGCCCCCTGGAGTTAACCGTCCACCCAGGGGATGTGCTAATTACAAACGTTCCTGCCCACGATTCATTCGAAATGCGAGCTCATACCACCCCAGCCAAGCCTCTATCGACCCCTCGCTTCGTCCTGGTCAAATAATGCAAAACACGCGCACTCGCTCATCAACAATCATCCGTCTTGAAGAATCCCTTGCGAAAAACAGCGGACGACATGTGCACGCGCACGTTGTCGCGCGCATGCCTGAATCCTTCAGAAGCCGTGGGGTTCGTAGAGGTTTCAAAATCGAGTGTCCTGGTAACATGTAAAACTACACGGTTTAACAATACGACGACTCAAAACAAAAGTGTGCGCGCTCTTGGAAATTCAGCTGGGAACCGGCATGTTCATCAAATGCGACCACGCGGGCCATTTGCACGCGCATGTCACTCGAACGCCTTTGCGCGCGTGCTGGGCGGCGCGGGGCGATCCCTGTCACCACATACCATGCGGGCAACTCGCGCCCGTCGGCCGCGCTCGCATGCCGAACTCCTTCCAAAACCTTCATCACCGACACGTGGACACCATCATCGGCGTGATCAGCATCGGCGCCGTCATTGGTCATCACC